CCTGGCGCGACAAGCCCTCCAATTCAAAGTCTTTTATAGCTGCGCGACAAGGCGCGACAAGGGGTATGTGACAATCCCCGCGTTTCAAGGGTATGTAACAGAGGCTTGTGCGCGCGGGCCATCGGGCACGGGGTTTCGACTCACTGCCATATTCCAATGGAGGAGCTCTTCTCTTGTGATGGATGGATTGATGGAGTGGAGGATGCGCTGGAGAGTGATCCCACGGATGAGGTGGTTTGGGATTATGGTGGAGAATCTCCACCTCAGCTCTCCTCTGAAGAGCTGAGGCAGGTGGACCTCAAGAGTGACTTGATTGAGGTGGAGAGGCTCGTTGAAATGGGCGTCCTCAGAAGGATCAACCCAGGCGAATACCTGTCTGGCTATTCGCGTCTTTCAACCAAGGTAGTGCGCGACTGGAGAAAGCGGCCAACATGGATCCGGAGGAGCAGACTGGTTGCTAGGGAGTTCAAGACATGGACTCCTTGGACACAGGAGTTGTTTGCACCGGCTTCTTCATTGGGAGTTGTTCACAGCCTAATGGCTTTGGCGCAAGGCAAGGGACTTGAGTTGGTCACGCTGGACGTAAAGGATGCCTATCTGAATGTTCCCCAGAAGACAAAAGTAATAATCCAGGTTGATGCGGCCCTCTTTGGCGTCCCAGGTGGTGGCTTGATAACCTTTGTGTTGGAGCGGTTGTTACCTGGCCAGAGGATTGCAGCAAGTGAGTGGTTCATTTTCATTCGTGATATTCTCTCTGAGGCGGGGCTTCAAGGTTTTCCCAAGGAGCCTACCCTCTTGAGAGCGGAGAGCAAGTCTGCATGCTGACGATGGCCTCCTCGCCTCAACAGCTGAAGAAAGGAAGCAGTTGGTCTCCCATTTGAGCAAGCGCGTCAAGGTCCAAGTGAGTGAGCCAATGAAAGATGTGGGTGACGAGCTGGAGTTCCTCAAGAGGCGCTATGTGAAAATGGAGAATGGGATAGCCATGTATTCAGGGCGCAGGCATTTGGAAGGGCTTTTAGAAGCGCTGGGAAATGTGAGAGAGCGAGACTCCCCTGGCAACCAAACCTTCTTGGATGCCGATGCGTCTGAGGTCCTTCCACCAACAAAGGCTCGCACCTTCAAAGAGTGTGTTGGCGGGCTGCCGTATTTAAGCCACACGCGGCCAGACATTCAGTTTGCTGTATGTTGCCTTGCAAGCAAGATGGCTGAACCCACAACAATGTCAATGAAGTGGTTGCAGCGTGTGGTTGGCTACTTGAAGCGTGTGCCCACTCTAGGTTTTCTCATCAAACCTGTCATGGATGGTGGTTGCTTGGAGTTTATGGGCCAGGAGACTCCCTGCAAGGGATCCAAGGTCATCCTTGAATCAGTGACCGATGCGGACTGGGCAGGTAACCATTCAACAAGAAGAAGTAAGTCAAGTGTGCATCTGTATTTGGGAGGCTCTCTGGTGTCAAGTTTTGTGAGAAGTCAAAGATCTGTTGCACTTAGCTCAGGAGAAAGCGAATTTGTGGCTTTGGTGTCAGGGGCAACGGAAAGTGTATTCCTTCGTGAGTGCATCGAGTTCATGACAAAGAATGAGTACGTAGTCGACTGCATTTTGCGGTCAGATAGCGCGGCTGGGCGAGGCATCAGCCAAAGAATTGGCTGTGGCAGGATTCGGCACTTGGACTGTGGACTCCTCTGGGTCCAGGATGGTGTGAAGCGTCGCTGGTTTCGGGTTGGACCAATCAGTGGACCAAAGAACCCTGCTGACCTCGGCACGAAGCCGTTGGCAGGACCCCGCTTGAGAGAGTTGGTCTGCAGAGCTGGTGGCGTGGATGAGAATGGGGAGAAGTTCGGTACTGAAGAGCTTGGCCGTGCCGAAGTGAAGCAGGTGCTCAGCAGTGGAGGCTGGAAAGGATCAAAGGCAAAATCCATTTTGCCTGTTTTGATGATCCTGGCTCAAGTTATGGGAGCAGATGCAGTTGAGGGCTTGAGCTCACCGCAAGTTTTGAGGAAACTTTTGTTTCAATGGCCTCAACCTTGGCTGTTGGAGTTGTTCTCATGATGATGATTATGGGGACACCGTTTTGCGTGTACAAGATAGCGAGCTGGGCTGCAGTCAGACTCACGAGTGGACCCTCACATTTTGTGAAGGTCAGGGATGTAGCTGTGCAAGCAGATCGTGGCATGAGTGTGTCAGAACAGCGTTTTGTACAGGAGTACACAGAGCGCTTGTGTGAAACAGAAAGTTTGTGGGTGAAGAGATGGAAAATTCAAGGCTTTGCTCAAGGGAGCTCAAAAGCTGTAGGGAGGAAATTCGTAGATCGCAAAGGGAGCTAAATGCTGCAACATCAAGAGCAGCAGTTCCCACTGAGTTGCACGTTGCCACAAACAGCGGCAGCGTTTTTCATCGCCATGGCTGCCCCGCACTGCATTCGAGCACTAGCACTAAGAGGTTTGGGCCATGTCAGCAATGCTTCAACAGATGAGTGCAGCAGACTCACCTTAAGTGAGAGAAGATGAGTCTGAGGCGGGGTGAAAGTCAGAGTGGGATGTTCACACATGTAAAGCATTGCTTCGCTCCTCGCTGCACCTTGAGTCCTCGAGATACCTGCTGGTAAAAGCGTTTCACCTTTCGTAAGTGGCCGTGAAAGGTTATCTTTTCTTAGATCTTCTGTCTCTTGAAGCTTTCATTAAGCAAGCCTCTTACTCACGATTTTGCAATGGGATGCGCATCAAGACAACTTACCCATAATCAAAGAGAGATTTATTCAGGATGACAGAGAAGTTTATGCAGGATCAAAAAGAAGCTTTTGTATGATCAACAAAACCCGACGGGATTCCTCGAAAGCTGGGATTCGTATTTGTACTAGTATCAGGGTTGTGATTAGTTCTACTTTTGCATCCGCATCAACTGCTAAGCTTCATTAAAGCTTCGTTCAGCTTTTGTTAGAAGCACCCGTCATCTAAGATTCTGTTCTATTATCGCTTTTTCCAAGGTTCTGTTACTGTACACGCTTGCCAGAGCTTCCATTGAAGCTCGTTTGAAAGGAATGAATTCTGAAGGTTTTCAGGCGCGACGAAGAGCGGATGCTTAAAAACGACGACATAAACTACAGATAATCAGACAGCGACCCAGAACTCTGCGATTCCTATGGCTATGTGCGTAGTGACGGCTGATGCGTTTGCCATGCAATGGCAGATCACAAGCAGTTTCTTCACACTTTGCACATTTCACAGCACGAAATTTACGAAACCATGATTTGTTCGAGTTTTTCGTGCCATATCACAACGCGTTGGTATGATCAACGGCTTCACACCACGCAGGCTGCAGAGTCGGAGTTCAACAACAGGATTTTGTCGAGGTTTCCGGGACCCGACATGTCGAAACTCCAACACACCGATTTTGACAAGGTAAACTGCTTGCGATGAACCACTTCAGCCTGGCTCCCCTGTCAAAACAAATGTGGGTTGTCCGAAAACCCTTGTCTACAAGTGTAGATCACTGAAAACCAAGCGTAACATGTCATAACATGATTTGTCAAGCACCCTGAGCGCGCAAGCTCCGCGCAAGCACGGCGCAAGGTTGGCGATAGGGTGCGAAAACGTTCATGGTATTAGGTTTAGTGTGATGAGCCTGCCCGAAAACCATCGTGAGCCAAATTGCCCGCGCGAGCTCCACGCAAGCACGGCGCAAGCCCCCAATTCGAGCTGAAGGAATATTGGACAACCCCCAAATGAGGTTCGTGCCAATTTCACAACTTTCCACAAAGAACACCAATTTGATATTCGATGAGCTTCCACTAAGAGTAACAAGTATGAACATAATTGTGAGGCTCTTGCCAATTATAAACGCTATCGCTGGCCCGCCTCGGCTGGCGGAGGCAAGCCTCACTTCAGACTGTTTGTTGCATGCATGTTGCAGCATTGATGGAGGGGCAGCCTTAAGTGAAGGAGTTCGCAAGCTTCGAGAGCTGGGGGGCGAGGGGGGGCAGGGAGGGGGCGGTGATGAGGCGGGGGGGAGGGGGGAAGGGGGGATAGAGAGGGGGGAGGCGTTTGGATAAAAAATGTTTGCTGCCGCGTACTGCCGCTTCAAACCTGGCACGAAGCTAGAATTTCACGCGGGATGGTCAGGCTGGACTAGGCCACGCACCATGGGAGGGGGGGGGAGGGGGGGTCGCCACGAGCAAACAGGTTTGCAAAAAAGGGGTAGGGGGTGTTTTTAGAGGGTTCTGAGTCACAAGTATGAGCATAATTGTAAACAATGCGTATCAACAACGCAATCTAAGCACAAACCCTTTGCAACGCTTTTACGAAAATGTTGGGGTTGTCGCCTCAGTTTGTCGTGTAGGTTTTGGAACGAGTACTGCACTGGCCTCAGGCAGAACAGGGCAGCTCCGCATCCAAAGCCAGCACAGGCAACACCAGTCTTCCAGGTCATGGCGAATTCATCAAGCTGTCGGGGTATCGTTACTCAGCTGCGCACCTACAGAGTTAAAGACGCTGTGGCTTTTCTGCTGCGAAAAGATGACCTTGACAAGTATACTGATCAGGAATTCGTGATCCAGCTCTGAGTCTGACAGTTTGGCAACTTGGCAAGTTGGATGCGAAGCGTGTGCGGCAAGCCTGCAGATGGCCATGTTGGCATCTGAGGCTTCTTCTGTCATGTCTCACGGAGGCAATGTGCAATTGGAATGGTTGTTCTTCTGCTGAAGCTCGGTGAGCACCAAGGCAATGACCTGCGCCGTGAAGATCATGCAGGCAGATGCTTGGAACCAGGTGGTCCGAGGCCCTCCCTTGGCTGTGCTTGGCTGTGAGGTGCCTGCGACCACCAATGACCACAGGAGTCAAATAGCCAGAAGGATGCAAGGGATACAACCTGTTGCAAATGCAAGCATGATGCACGTTACGCCATGCACATGCCAACGCACAGTGTATAGTGAAGGTTCCGAATTAAGGGCTCTGGCTGTACAGTTCTTCGCTGAAGGCTTTCAATCGAGCAACTCTGAGATGCACTGCTGTTGGAGCGACAAGCTCAGTGGCCAAAGCTCCTTTTCCCACCCAAAGGCGCGCCGAAATGCCACGCGTGTAAAGGAGACACAAGCTGATGTACCAAGCAAATGCAACCTTTGGGGAGAAGCCGTGGTGTCAAGACACTGCTGCAGCATGCAGGCATGCCTTTTTCAGGTGCATGTGCAGCCGATCCGGCACACTACTCAGCTTACTCGCACAGGGTCTACCGCTGGGGGGCTGCCCCCAAGTTTCATCTCTGAGTGCCCGAAAATCACGTTGTTCAATGCAAATTTGGGGGTGAAACGTAAGTCCTGGAATGGCGCTGTCAGTCCCCAGAACAGCCACCTTACTTCTTGGGCGATGCTCATCCGTTAAACCACATGGGCGGGAGCCTATCTGAGCTGCAAGTCGAAATCATTGAGCTTGTAATTAGCAGGTTGGGCGACCATTTTGTGAGACTTTCGCGACCTACAAACTCCTGGGGGCAAGCCAGTCTCAATCCTGATAGCTTTCCCTAGGTTCCAATTATGTGCTTCAGCCTCTTGTCCAACGCGCTCCGAAGCTGTGCCCGATGGCTTTCAACACTGCAAAATGCAGTTGTTGGCATCGACCGGTCCATTGGAGCGTTATCTGGATCTACGCAGACTTCCATGCCTTCCTAGCTTGTACGAAGCGGTGCTGATTTGCAATGCTTGAAAACTTGTTAGCTCATGCTGGCTCGCAGGAACGTAATGACTGCGAAAGCGTCAATAAATCATGATCGAAGCATTGCCAAGATTTCCAAGTGTACAAAAGCTGGCCAGTATGCTGCAGATGTGCACTCAGTGATCCCTGCAGGAAGCAGCGAGCAGCTGGCCTGTTTGCAGTGATTGCAGCGGCAGATTCTGGTAATCACGAAGCCTAGCGGGCCTAGCGACCAAGCTTGTGCGAGTCTTTTGCAGCAAAGCCTGGCT